AAAAAAAAAAAAAAATCGCGATTTCGTCAAAAGAGATGCGCGCGGGGATGATAAACTAATCATTTTTTTTATGGGGCCTAAGTAGTAGTTCTCTAGGCCCTAGCTACATTTTACCTTCGATAAAAAACGAATTATTTTAATCGCTAGCTAGCATTCTTCCATTTAACAAAATATTGTTTTAATTTTCATTAAAACGTATGTATACTTTATTAACCTTTCTGTTCTGTTTTGTAGTTTTTAAATCGCTCAATTGTGTTGTTTACATGCACTTAAATAAATAAGTTGCTGACTTCCACACACTTTTTTATTTCGTCATCGTAAATATGTGCGCTCATTTTAACGACTGGCGTTGGTGGTAAGTTCGTTGAAATTGAATTTAATAGCAACTATTATAGCAGAAATGGAAAAGATTGATTTGTCAATAAATAAATACAACAAATCTGATTTTATTATTAAGAAAAATATACATTATCACTTTGAAAAACGTACCGTACGCAATCGGACTTTTTAATTACTTGGTCGATGATGCAAAGGGCAAAGGTCATTGGTACGTTTGCTCTGGGTTTTTACCCATAGTATTACAAATAATTTCTGAAAACCAGACTAATGTGACTAGTGTGACCACTGCTTGGGTATGTACCCAAGATCTTGGGTATTTTGACTTGGTCTTGGGTTCTTGGGTATTCCGTTCAAATCCTTGGGTATTTTATTTTTACTAAGAAAATTTAATATTTTTGTCATAGAGGAAGAATTAAAAAGTAACAAAGTATATTTCAGTCCATTCAAGTAGGCAAAACTCAACGAAGTGCACATAAGATTGTTAATTGACTGTTAATTGCTATAAACATTGGTTCAGAATTGTTTATAATTGTGATTTGCGTTGCCATTGATCTTACCTAATTAATAAAACTTGATCACTGATCTACTGATAACACCGGTCGACTGAGGGCGTATTTTTCTAATATTAATTTTAATAATTAACACAAACAATTACATTAAACAATGGTTTATAAATTGAACTAAAAGGGAAACTATACAAGCGAAAAACACGGGTTTTTTTTCAATTTTTAATGTATTTTCAGGAAGCTTGGGTAATTTTGGGCAATTTTTGCTAAATCTTAGGTAATTTCGACCCATTCATTGGGCATATCAAAAATTGTGAGTGGTCACGCTGAATGAGACTACTTCGATGCTGTTGTTAGCATTGTTAAAGTACGTTGTTGCCAGCCAGAAGATGATAATGGTGGTCAATACAGCAACGCTGGCTTAGATGCCTATGTTACGTAATCGTGTCCTTGTAATCCGAGCCGACTTTACCGTTAAGTAAGTTAATTTACCGTTATTCTAGTAAAGTTAAGTCACTTAACTTAAGTGACTTAATTCCTTTATCTAGCTATAATTGAGTAGTTCAGGTCGAACTTTTAACTAGTTAAGTGGATATATATCTAGATAAAAGTTCGACGTGAACCAGGCTAAAGACACAAAAAGGGTGTTTTACGAAAAACACGGAAACGGTTAATGAGGTAGGCCTAGGCCTACAGATTTTTGAATATTACTATTTTAAAAACTGGGGGAAATGTAGGAAAAGTGTCACGTTGGTGGAGATCAGAAGGCTCCGTCGAACTCTTTTGAAAACGTTTTGGTTATCTCGGTTGTAGGCTAGGCCCACATCCATCAGTATTCTCAGCGGAGCCCTGTGATATTATTGAGCATCATATACACTTTCTTTTTATAAGAACACTGAGGCTGAAATTGCTTAAAAATTAAGAACAAAATAAGAACTAATTGAGGCTGAGGAAAATTTCAAATGATTTTTATATATTTAAAAAACAAAATATTATATCTGTACATTATGTGCAGTAGGTGTGACTGTAATACCCTCTATTGGGGGCCATTTTTTGTGGGGTCACTTTCACCTACATTGCAGTACAGTGCATACTGCTGTACAATTAAACAACTTTTTTTTAATGTGTGTAAACTAAGAACAAAATAAGAACATTTTGAACCTGAAATCGGCCAAAAAATAAGAACACTGAGCCTGGGCAAAATTCAGACCCAAATACATTCTTAGTGTTTTCTCCAAAATAATTGAAAAGTGAATGTATCAAAGATTGAATGATTAACTTTCCATTAATAATATCCTACATACACACCAACGTCACATGATATTGTGAATAATATCACAGCCATTTGAACAAAATCGATTTTACTTTCCATTTTTATCAATTTATCTCTCAGGCTTTGACTAACCATAAGATTTTATGGTATCAGAGGTATTCCTTTAAATTGGTTTACAAACTACTTAGTAAATCGTAAACAATACATTGCTTTAGGTTCATGTTAGGAGGTGGATGGAACATGGAGTGACATAGTCTGTTCTTGGACCCTATTATTCTAATATTTGTTAATGTTCTGTATCTGGCTAGTGGCGCTCTAATGTTAGGCCCTGAACTTAACAAATTTGCTGGCTGGTTCACCTCAAACATTAAATACAAATAAAGCTAACTAGGCTTATATACAATTTCGCAATAAACAAAAGAAAATACACTTAACTAATTGTCATGTTGAAATTAATGGTTCGAATATTGAATCGCAAATCCAGTATTATTTTTCTTGGTGTTCATCCATGAACATTTGAGGTGGACCGGACCAGCCATCAACAATACTAAGTCCCTATACTAAGTCCCTATTACCGGTCTAAAATCATTGGTATAATTTTGTAATGATGTCTTTTTCCTTATCACATTCTTTTTTCATTATAATAAGAATCTTATTCAGCCACACCTACTTTAATTTAATGTAATTTGGCCTGCCGATTACCCTTTTAACTTAATCAAATTAGGCCTAAAAATTAACTAACGCTCCGTCTGAATCTGTCTTTAAAAAAATATTTTTAATTGATTTGCATAAAATCTATATATATAAATCGTCAAAGGTACATATACAGTGTTTAAATAAGGACATGATGGAACATCGTTGGCTACCCTGTAGCTTTTCAACGAATAAAGTCCTATAAAAGTCATTGTGTAATAAAATTCCCCCCGACGGGATTCGAACCTGCAACCTCTCGGTGACAAGGCGAGCGTCATAACCACTAGACCACGAATGCTTCATGGTTGAACAGGTCCAAATAACCGTCGGGAACATTGTATTACTTAATGCTACGCCTCAAGAGGGCGTTCGGCCAGATAAATCTGGCAATACGGCTAATACTGTCGTATATTATATATGATATTGAAC